ATTTTGTAATTAAATGTTTCTTTTGTCTTCTTATTTTATTCTGCGTTTCACTAGTAAGCAAGTAAAGAAAGTCCAATCTTTATAGGTAAAGAAAATTCCAATAATGCGGGATAAGTCAAACAAAAAACTCTTAACCATTGATCTTTCATCGGGATGGCCGTTGACTAGTATAAAGTGTAAGTTTTTCGCTTAAAGTAGTTGCAACTTGCTAGATTTCTAGTAATATTATATTCGTTTCAAAAAGCTAATGCACAAACAAGATCTACTTTTTTTATTTCATATTTGACAATATTATCAAAACATTCATAGAAACAATGGTAGCTTCAGTAATTTAGAGAAAATGTGGTTGTTTCACGAGATTTCTAATTGTCCGATATTCCTATATAATAGTCTCAAAACTGGTCCTATATATTTACATATATATCTTGTTTAATATTCTCTGTTCCTCAAATAATGATGTTTTGAGTTTTACACACAATTTAAAAAATAATAATTTTTAAAATTTTTAATTATTATTTTATTAGTTTAATAATATTAGTTTTACTGCTCACCTTTTTCTATTGGTCACAAACAAAAACAATGATAAATCTTGGTAGAACAAGTGAAAAACTCAAAACATCAAATAAGTAAGAACAGAGGGAGAGTGAGTATATGGTCAGCCCCGGCCCAATATATTTGGGAGCCTTAGGGCATCATCAATGGGAGATCATGTGAGGGTGTTCTTATAGAGAATATAATGTTAAAATAATGTAAGATCATGTGTTTAGATCTTTTGTTTAGAAGTTGATTAGTGGGAGAACATGTGTAAGATCTTAAGACTTAATAATATAATAATCTAAATTAAATTAAAATTTTACAATTATTAAAACATTTAAAAATAACATATAAATTGCAAATGCCAAATTTATGAAAAACTGAAAATAAAAGTGAAAATACAATACTAAATATTTATGAAAAAAACATTAAAAATATAAATAACAATAAACAAACAAACATATTACTTAATAAAAGCACAAAAACATTTTATCTAATTAATACATAGTTTATTATCCAAATTTATTCCAAATATGTTGAATATTCCAACCAATGCCCAAATGCCACGTCACCCCGCAACACCCACAAGAACAGATCCAGGTCAAGAGCCCAGTTCCTGATCTTAAGCCCATTGACCCATTTTTTTGGATTTAAATAATGCTTAGATCAGGGGGGTGATCCCCCAATGCAGATGGTCTTAGGGCAAAAAAATTTTTTTTGGCCTATTATTATATATAAAAATATAATTTACTTATTTTCTAAAAAAAAATTGCAGATTCTTTACAGTAAAAATTGTTATACTAAAATTTTGGGCCTTTTTATATATTTTTTATAAAGAATTAGGCATCTTGAAATATAATTCTTATACTAATAATTTTTCAAAAAATATTTGGATCTTTTTTCTATGTAAAATTTTTATTAAAAAAAGAAGCTTTAGGCCGTCGCACCTCCGCCCGCCCATATGAGCCGGGACTGTATATAATGTAAGTGTGATTTGTGATTTTTATATCAGACAAAAAAAAAAAGTCTGCTACTTACAATTTTTATAGTTCAATAATCGCTGCTTATATTACGGCAGGTTTCACGTAATAATCAACGTGGGGATGTTTCAGCAGAAAACTTAGAAAAGTGGGTTGATGATGCTTATCGTCGTGGTTTCTGATGGGCGTACTTTACATTAATGATAATTTATTTGACTTATATTAATAATATCAAAGTCGTACTTATGACTTGTTACAAATTTAATACCGTACAGATCACAGCTGTTTTTTTTTGGCTTTCTTCTCCTGTTGACGTGGAAGATGTACGGGCCTCTGACTATGATCCTCATCATTCAACACATCTGAAATTGATACACGTCTCTTTTTCTTGCCAATTTTGTACTTATGTGTACATTAGATCTCTGTACTTTTTTGATAAAGTTTTTCCTCACACTTTTTGTAGTTCCCTGTACTTATGTCTGCGAAAGTTTTTTCAACTGTAGGACTTATCAAATGTTAGACACTGTTTATTTAATTACTTTGCGCAGCACCTGTATTTGGCCGTCCCTTCGGTGGCTTCGCCTAGAAATTTTTAGTTATATAAATAAAAATAATAGTTTTGACGGATAATAACGTACCGTTTTAACAATAACCAATCATAAAAACAATATAGGAAACGTTATTTTCAATTTTTCATACTGTTTTTAACTATTATAGTATCATTTACCGTTTTTTTATCCACTAAAACATTTATACAATTATACCAATTTGTGTCACTACTGATTTTGCGTTCATTTCTAAATTACGACTTTAGTTTAAATATTACCGACAATACGTGATTACAAATATATGTTTCATAAACATAACATGCAAGAATGGGTTTGAAATTCACGTTTGTTGGTCCATCATGTCATGGTACGTAGTCCAAACTAATCGAACACTTTGTCATGGTCAATAAAGTACAAAACTTAAAATACGGCTATTATGTTGACACCAAACCAATTTACAGTAGTTTATAAACTAATTAGTGGTTGGTATTTATTGGATGTCAAATGTTTTTACTAAAATTTTATAGAGTTGGTATAAACGTTTTAAACAGCAAAAAATTATTCGGCTCTTCCTTGGGTGTTGATTATTATTCTTGCTCGGTTTTGTATCATTTCTTTTAAGAAAATTAGCATGCCTTAAAAATGTTTCTAAATTTTGAATAGAAATTAAACAAAAATTGAATGAAAAAAAAAAAAATCGAATAGCAATACATATTTTCTGGTTAAAGAAACGTGTACCATGCGTTAAAAGAAAATTTGCCTTGTGTTGTATGTATAAGCAAGCTGTATGATACGGTGGCGTTTCGATTTTAAGTCCAGCAATTTAATTGACAAAAAAACATATTATGAAAGTTTTGACAAAAAAAAAATATATTATGAAAGTAACGATCCCTTTGTTTTAAAAATTCTTGCGAAAATTGACTAGTTAATGAATAAATAAGTACTTTTTTTACTCGGAATCAAACAACAAATTATTTTATTTTCATTATGATTTCTATATATATATAAGTATATGATTTGTTTAATACTCTCTCCGTTTCGTTTTAGGACTTAAATTTTGTTTCTTAATAGTTGTCGTTTTAGGTTTTCAATCAAATGTTTGATAAAAATTCCAGTATTAATCCTATTGTTTTAATGTTTTGACTAATGAAAAAATTTATAAGATATATTAATAAAGATAAAACTGAAAATATATTGTTTTTCTTAATTTGTATGAGAAAACCTTAAACGACAACTAAAACGAAACGGAGAGAGTATCTGATTACTTTCACATGGCAAGTTGGGATGTAATACGGGTCATTAAAGCACTCACATGTAAGTGTCTTAATTGGACGATGACTCGATTAATTAATCTAATTAAATTAAATCTCAGGAGAAGAGGAACTCGTTACATACCATAGCTCGGTCCTACTCGTTTTGACTAAAAAAATGTTGTTGAAGTATGACAAAAAATAAAGTGAAATGCTTAAGAACTAGGAACGATTTGGTCATAAAAGAGATAGTTCAGTAGAGATTGCAGACGGTTTAGTTCTAATTGTTGGTAATCTTGGTTTTATTGTTTTGTTAAACTCAATCTAGAGATTAATCAAAGCCGTATTAATGTTGTAACCACTTAGATTGGAACAGAATATTGACATTTCCTTTATAGATATTTCTTGTTTCAATTTATCCAAATTAGTGAACTGGCAGGTAGATGCATGCATGGTCGAGACGTAGGGCACTCACATTTGGTTATAGTTTCGACCCATTTTCCAAACATGTAAACTTGATTACTCTTTAAACTGTTAATTATTGGCTTATTGGAATAGGGATCTTGTAATATTATGTTATGTTTATTTATAACATTTGATCGATACATTTTACCAAAAGTAGCGTGTCCCATTCTCAAAATATCTCTATAATTATATTCTTTCAATGGCTTTCATTGCATCACCGTATATTAGCGAGATTCGTCTCAATTACATTAACTATTTAATTTCCGGCATAAACGTAGTTTAAAATGTAATATGTCTTATCTCAACAACATGCGTTTGACATTGGCGTTAAAAAAAATAGGGTAAACAGTTTTTTTTTTTTTTTTTTTAGTATGGTTATGGCTCAATCAAGACATACTACTACATACAAAAAGAATATATATATATATATATATATATAACAAAAAGGAAATTCAAGATTTTTTTTTTTTTGTTAAAGTATCTCTTTTTTTTCTTTCTAAACGAACAGGATTATAACAAAAAGGAAATTCAAGATTCCAAATGATATAATCGAAAGAACCCATAATATTAAAATTCTTTCGATTATATAATTTCGAAAATAAAGAACCCATAATTTTTAATTCTTGATAACGTACGTTGACAATGGACTTGGGTTCTATCAATTGAGTTTCTGCGGCATCGTTGCATTTAAATAAAGAACAGCGCGATAAGTGGGGGAGCAATCAAGCCACGTTTTGTTGACTTCGAAACGCGTAAGATACGCGGGACAAGATAACCACTTGGTCTTATAATATAGTCGTACCTACCGATCCATACTTTATTGTTTTATGGACCGTACAGATCATCATCATCATCTCCACTTTTCAAAGCCAAGTTGTAATGTTCATCTCTTTCGAACTTAAGCTGACGCTGTTTCGGTAGAAATAACCACTCAATACCTTCAGTTTTAAGTCGAGAATATACAAAAAAACAATTGAAGATTTATATAAAAAATTATTCATCCTCTTGCTGACTTTTATAATTTTTGATGTATACGGGTTTGATTAAACAAACTATAATCGTACTTTTTTGTTTTTTTTTTGTTAATAAAGAGAATCCCTAATTCCAGACTAATCCCCGAAATGATGTCTATGGATGGCTAAGTTGCGATGTGCAAGATTTTGAGAAAAATCGATTTATGACCTAAACCCACATGAAAATCCCACACCTTAAACATGAGCCACTAGTCCACCACAACTTGGTTAATTAAAATCGTACTTTTCAATGTGATTTAAATGTTGGAGTAAGAATTCATAGACTTTTGCTTAAAAGCATTAAATGATATGACATTTGATTGATAATTAATGCATAAAGATGCATGTCAATTTTATGAAAATAAAGTTGGTAATGATGGAAGAGGAAACTTAATACTATAAAACAAGAAACAAGCCACACACTAAGTTTGAGTTATGAAGCCCATAATTTATCAAACATCATGTAATCAAATTAATTAAGATCTTGCTTGTTAAATATATAAAACCGTGAAACGTATAGCCCATACCAACGGGAGAATAAGCTCTATAACATAGCATATGATTATATGCCTCACCATATATAGTAGTATAATGTGTGTGTCGTGTCTCTCAGTGTGTACATGTGGAGATAAAACATTCTATTCCGTGAGACTAAACATGAGCCGGGGTTCGATTTTCTGGCGTGGAGGCACCGTCCACAGCCGCCTTTCGGCCTCTTTCTGATCGACTATTCTCTGCAAATTTAAGGCTACCTTCATGCAATCCTTGCCGCTTCTCTTCCTCAGTCCACTCGGCTGCGTAATAATGCTCTTCCAATACTTTCTTCTCGTCACTTGTTGGTCCAAAAAACATACTTCCCCATTGCGGAAAATGTATAAACGCAACCAAAAGCGTAAAAACCATCGCCATGATTCCCATCATCGACAAGCCATCGGCAGTGTGGAATCTTGAGGAAGAGAAAAAAATCAGTTGAGTTAGTCCCGATCCAAAATTTCCTCCTGCACCGGTAAGTCCTGATATTAGCCCTAAGGAGCGGCGCGAGACAAAAGGAACGATGCCGAAGATAGCTCCACAAGCAGCTTGCACGCCAACTGAGAAGAGCATCATGGCTAAAATAGCTATAGGAAGTGAAGTAGCACGGCCTAGCCAAACACAGAAAAGTCCACCAGAAGTTTGTAAAATCCAAAGGGTCCATAACCGCCCTCTCATACCGAAAAACCGAGCAGACATGTCAGATGCATAGCCACCAAGGGGACGAGCGAAGAAGTTAGCCATACCAAAGCTGGCTGCTATCATACCAGCTGTGTGAAGTTGAAGTTGAAACCTAGTATACGTGAAACACAAGAAACAGATCAGGTTACTTTTGATTAAAGAAACTTAGACTTAATTAAACGAAAATTTGTTATATATGTTAATCCGAACCTGTCGAAGAAATACTCTGAGATAACATTGTTGATGGTCATTTCGATTCCCATGGAAAATCCATAGAGAAGGAACAACACATACGTTCTATAGTTCATCACAGCATACCAAAATACCTAAAAAGAAACAAAATTAATGATTTAAGGGAACGGTAATTATTATTTAATTGAACTTATTATATAATAAATATTGATGTGATTTATTTGTCTAGCTAGGTACCTTGGAGAACTTGTCTTTGGAAACATCTCCTTTCTTCTGTAGAGTACTAAGGTTTCCATCAGGAAGATCTTGTCCAAGAGTGAGCACAAGAATGCCCATAATGACCTGTAGAAACCCGGGGACGAAGAAGGCGATCCTCCACGCCACAAAGGGACTGGCTCCGGCGAGTTTGATGACGTGGAAGACCATTGGCATGAGTAGCTGAGTCACGCCTCCTCCCATATCTCCCCACCCTCCGGCACATCCGTTGACAAGTCCGATTATCTTGCCGTTGAACATCACGCTTGTCCAATATTGACATGACACGAACGTTGCTAGACAAAAACCAATCATGAACCGGACGGCTAAGTAGCCACCAGCGTTAGCCACAAAGGACATGCTAAACACTGTTGGAGCTGATAACATCAGCAAAAACGCCGTTCCGTACCTGTTTCAAAAATGAACATTAAGTGATCGCATCACGATTAAGTTTCACGTCAAAAAAATTATCTAGATCACGATTATCATTAAGAAAAACAGAAATTTTCCCCATGATATGATACATGAACATAAAAAATGTTTTATATAGATGAATCTTAGATATAATACGTATGTTGGTCCAAAATTTCCAAATTTTATTTGATGCTCTATGCATAACTAAAAAGTCGGGTCTTTTAACAATGTGAGGCATTAAGCAATGGCTTCCCATGCTTATGCTCCGGACCGGCCTTTGTAACAACACTTACGTTCCTTAAGTCCATAGTCAAGATAATTTCACTAGTAAACACATTCGCATATATAGTTATAAAAAATTATAAGTACCTAGCCCCGAGCAAGTCACAAACAGCTCCCATAGCGAGCCTAGAGAAAATAGCGCCGGAAACCGAGGCGACTCCGGCGTTTCCAATATCATTTTTGGTCAAATCGAGGTTATCTCTGATGATGGGAACGAGAGGTGCGGCGGCAAAAGTAGAGATGAAGCAAGTGAAGAAAGAAATCCATCCTAAGTGAAAAGCTCTCATGTGTGGTTTGGCGAATGAAAATGGTTTGAACACTTTTGCTCTATGTTCTGAGTCAACCGGCAAGGAAAACTTAGCCGTTGGATCATCCGATCGGACGACTTGAATCAAATGGCTAGCATTGCCGTCGACAGAGAAGGAGAAGACTTGTTCCCTCGCCGTAACTCCATGCATGGAGGTCCCAATAGAGCCTTCATCATCATTTTGGTAAGCCATTGTTGTTCCCAAGAAGTGGGAGAAGAAGAGTCTTTCTTCTTAATTAGGGGACAACGTGCTTCTCTTGTTCTTCTCACGCCCTTGCTTTTGGTTCTCTAAGTTTGTCGACTTTACTTTTCTTACCTCATATATAGACGTAGAAGTTGCCGCATTGCACAAAAAAAAAAAAAAAAAAAATTCGTTTGAGACAATAAAAAAAATCATTTGATGGAAGATTTGGTAAAATAGGATTATTTCATAATTTATTTGATTAGTTTATAAATAAGTTTTCTTTTATAACGACTTATATTTTCGACTCTAAAGTAGTTAAACGATTGATTGAGTTACTTAATTATATGATTGGTCGATATATCACTTCATTATCTTATAGTCGAATTTTATCGTTAAAGAAAGCCCCAATCATGAATCATATCGACTAGTGACTTGTGGCGGATAATTGACTAATTCACCATTTTCATAACATATGCATACCTTTTATTTGCATGGCATGAATGTCAAAAAATTTGGAAGAAGTAGAAACAAAACCTAACTTTCTTGGATGCCAATATAACTATAAGGATTTAAGGAATATCCAATTTACGAACAGGTATAAATAATGTAATTGTCGTTGACAATATCGGGTTATATATATAGTATAAGTTTATGTTTCACGCTGTCCATCGGTTGATTAAATTTTATAATTGCAACTTGGTAGACCTCTTTTAACCAAAAAAAAAAAAAAACTTGGTAGACCTCACGACGACACAACAAATGTTGTCATCCCGTGTTAGACGCTTATAAATTTTTTTTTTCTTTTTTTTTGTCAAATCTATAATATTTTTCTAGTCTATATATATATATATATATCTGAAAAGCCGTTTTTCTTATAAGCAATATCTTTTCAAACCAATTACCAGTTGAAAAAGCAATTATTAAATTTAGAAAGCAAAACAAAATTTTTTTGATTAAATAAAAAAATTAGAAATGAATTTTCCCAAGATTTGATACAAATTTAAGAAAACCAAACAATAATAGATATTTTATTAAAAATTTAAATATATGAATTACTATGCTATATAATTAAAATATTATGTCAATTTATGAAATTGATTGGACCATATGTTTACGTAGGATTGTTAGAAAAGTTCTTATTGTCTTAGTAATTTATCAATCTGTGTTATTTTTTTACTGGTCCTAACTGGGACTAGAAGAATTTATTAATTTATCGAGTATTAATTTATAGAAGAGTTTTACTTTATTGCCTTTTTAAGCATGGTATTATTTATGTCTAGGGCAGCTCTTTGCAAACTTATAAATGAACACAATTTGTAAAGTACATGTGTTTTTTTTTTTGTGCAATATATTTTACATGAGAAAGATTGCAAATAGTTTTTCTCTGAAATTTATATGTGATTATAAAAACTAGTGTAAGTTTTCAAACATAAATTTTCATAAATTCTTCATTAATTACTTTTATTAGAACTTTAATTTAATCAATGATTACAGTATTTTCTTAAAATGATTTGGACATCATTATGTTATTTCACACTAGGATTTAACCCGTAGTACACCACAGAGCAAATGTTTTATTCATACATATGATAATATTAAATTTTTATGGTTTTTAATTTAGTATTAAAGTTATATAATTTTATATTAATGTTTTAAATAAAAAATTAGTGATGATAAAATAATAAAATAAAGATATAACCCATGTTATATTAATCCAAACCCGTCCCGCTATATAACTCGTCTCATGATATTTTAATTAATAATGTTTTATAAAGTTAAAATATATCAATAATAATATTTCAAAAATAATATTTGTTTTTTGACTTTAATGTGATGACATTCTTTGTAAATTCTTATTTTACTAACACAAAAGTACTTTAAAAAAGGTACTTCAAAATTTTTAATATATATAATGTTATTGTTTTGGGTAAAAAATATTATAAATAAATATTTAGTTTAATCATATTTGGGATTGATATACTTGTGTTTTTGACTAACTGTTTTTTCTTTTAATAGCCTATATTTAGGCATTTTTGTTAACATTATTTGAATTAGCAATATCAACTTAATACATGTACAATTTATTCTTACCAGAAAAAGAACAAAATTTAATAAAAATCAGAAAAAATGTTTTAGGGTGTGATAATTATTTTGTACAATTGCAAATTGGAAAAGTATATAGAAAAACAAAATTAGAACGCCGGAATAAAAAAAGGGGCTTTTGCAAAAATGCCACTTTTCAAAAATGCCCATTCTTTAAAACTTTATAAAAATGCTCTTTAAAATATAAGATTTACCCAAATATGTATATAACATTATTAAAACACACACAAACTACATTTCTGTGTATCTAAAATCTTATAAATACTTTATAAATACCTTATAAATGCATTTTAAATACCTTTAAAAACTTTTAAAATATCTTGTAAAACCTTTGAAAAACCTTTAAAATCCTTAAAAATAACTTGTAAAACCTTTAAAAACACCTTATAAAACCTTATAAATACTTGGATCGAGTCTTCAAGTAGTAGTTACAATCCATAAGTACCTTATAAACCTAATAAAACTTTATAAAAATTTCAGATTTAAAAAGGGGCATTTTTGAAAATGGACATCTAAAAGGGGCATTTTTGAAAAGGGGCACACCAAAAGGGGCATTTTTAACAATTTCCCATGAAAAAATCAGAAAAGAAAGTTTTAGGGAGCTTTTTTAAAAAAAAATTTGTGATGGATGGCTTCTATATATGAACTACTATAAGAGGAAGATCATACTCTCCAAAAAGTGATTCAAAATAAAATAAAATCAATTTCGATTTTCTCAAGAAGAGTGATATTGTATTGAACAAACATGATTGGCAAGACCTAACGAATCATTTAAAGAAACATAATCAAACATATGAAAATGTAAAAAAAATAAAACTAAAACAATTTTTTTTTTTAATGAAGAATTAGGACTGTAGAGAGCCGATTTATCGTAATGATTAATGAAGGGAAGCTTAAAAAATGGATTTTAATTTATAGGGGATTGGGAAAGAATTAGGGTTTCAATTTTTAAAATTGTGGCGTAATTAATTTTTTATGAAAATTTTAAAGCATATATTGTAATATGAGATTTCATTCTTTTTATTAACTGAAAATAAATGATTTAAAACAAAAATTAGGGTGATTAATGCTAATTGATCATCTTAAAAGGATTGTTAGTGTGTAGTATATTTTGTTTAGATTTGGAAAGATTTAAATGATTTTTGTAATTTTCTTTTCTTTTAGTTTCCTAAATTTTTGTAACAAAATCGATTAATATTTAGATTTGAGAATAAATTTGTTAAAACATTAAATGTCAATGGCATTGTATTGTAAATACGTAGCAACTCTAGGATTTATTTGCTAAGTGTACTCCAAAAATGTATATATAGATATTTGCGCTTCATTTTTTTAAATACTCTTATATTCATCTTCTTTTGTTTTCTCTTTACAACAAAAGGATACAATTTAACCAGATACATGGAAAGATAATATGAAAATAATAATATGAAAGCTGATGAGAGAAAGTGGAATAACCCAGTTTTTAAATATCAAACTTTGATTTACGCTAATATCACAAATTCACAATCCATTATATATATCGACAGATAATGTAACGAAAAAAAAAGAGTAATTTGTATTGCCGTACGAGAACGTAACTCTGGTACGTATGGCATAGCATATATATCAAGTTGATTATTATCCTTTCTTCTCTTCTTACAAAATATTTTTTTAGTAATATGTATTTTATATTATTTTTTGCTTTGAAAGATATTTTATATTACATTTGATTACTACATTTTACCGAAGTATCCAATCGTATTCAATGATTTTTAATTTTATCACATCATATAATTTCAAATGATGATGCTATAGTTTATGTTTATATAAATTGGTTCTCGAAGCTGTTCATCTCTAATAAAAATTTGTACTAAACGTCATATTCTGATCATGTTTTTTATTTTAATAAAAACAAACCAAATTTCTTAGTAAGACAGCAACTAAAATAATTATAATAGAGTCATGAATGGACACGTTCATATGGATAAAAAATAACTTTTTTTCTGTCTACTAAAACTATATACTCTTTCTGTTCCTACAAGAGTGATGTTTTGAGTTCTACACACTAATTAAAAAAAAGTCATTTTTATAGTTTTTTATTGTTTTATTACTAGTTTAATAATATTAATCTCACTTCTTTCCTTTTTCTATTGGTCATCAATAAAAATAGTAATGATGCTATTACAAAACATCAATTTTTGTGGAACAAAAAAAAAATTCAAAACATTAAATATCTAAGAACAACAGAGGGAGTATAATTTATATAAGTGAACCCACGATGAATACATCAGGTTGAGTCATAGATCATACGTGGGGCGATATAACTTCTCCAATTAAGAAAACAGTAGAAAAAGGAAGATAGTCAGAAGCTCTTATCAAATGAAATTGAAAACTGTGAGTTATAATATTACCGTACAGATCATGCCTCTATATCTTTTTTTTTTTGTTTGACCAAAATCATGCCTCTATATCTTTATCACAAAATACAGGCTGTTTGTAATTATGTATTAAGCATATTCTGTTTCCATCTAACTTGCCAAAGCCAAAGACTAAATAAGATTTCTCTCTACTTTGATTTTTCTTTCTTGGTACAAAAATAAATGGAAACTTTTGTCAACTTTGTGGACATATTTTAAGTAAAAAGTCAAAACTCTTCCTATAATCTAGTTGTTAATTAGATTAAATAATTTTTTTTTTAATGGAGAAAAAGCAAAGGATTTTGACAACTTGGTGCTGAACATGCTAGAAGAGAAAACATTAATAACACTATTGTTGGTGTAGGAATTAGCACCTCCGACAATACCAGTTTAAACCGGACAAATCACAAATTAATCTGAGAATTCAGTTAAACCGGAGAATTCCGGTTAAGCCTGTTAATGGGCTGAAGAAGGAGATCGCCCCAAGCGAGTTCGACTCGAAGACGGGGATTGCCTGCAACCGACTTCCTCATCCAAGAAAAAGGAGACTTTCCTAAAGAATCAAGGAGAATCCAGAAGAGAAAGGAAAATCTCAGGATAAAGTTTTGATCAAAAAGTTTAAAGAGAG